AATGGCTATCGAGGGGTCATTAATGGCTATTGAGTGGTCACTAATGGCTATCAAGTGGTCATTAATGGCTATCGAGTGGTCACTAATGGCTATCAAGTGGTCACTAATGGCTATTGAGTGGTCATTAATGGCTATCGAGGGGTCATTAATGGCTATTGAGTGGTCATTAATGGCTATCGAGTGGTCATTAATGGCTATCGAGCGGTCATTAATGGCTATCGAGCGGTCATTAATGGATATCAAGTGGTCACTGAAGGCTATCGAGCGGTCACTAATGGCTATTGAGTGGTCATTAATGGCTATTGAGTGGTCATTAATGGCTATTGAGTGGTCATTAATGGCTATCAAGCAGTCATTAATGGCTATCGAGTGGTCATTAATGGCTACAGAGCGGTCATTAATGGCTATCGAGTGGTCATTAATGGCTATTGAGTGGTCATTAATGGCTACAGAGCGGTCATTAATGGCTATCGAGTGGTCATTAATGGCTATCGAGTGGTCACTAATGGCTATTGAGTGGTCATTAATGGCTATCGAGTGGTCATTAATGGCTATTGAGTGGTCATTAATGGCTATTGAGTGGTCATTAATGGCTATCGAGTGGTCATTAATGGCTATTGAGTGGTCATTAATGGCTATCGAGTGGTCACTAAAGGCTATTGAGTGGTCACTAAAGGCTATTGAGTGGTCACTAATGGCTATCGAGTGGTCATTAATGGCTATTGACTGGTCATTAATGGCTATTGAGTGGTCATTAATGGCTATCGAGCGGTCACTAATGGCTATTGAGTGGTCATTAATGGCTAACGAGCGGTCATTAATCGCTATTGAGTGGTCATTAATGGCTATCGAGCGGTCATTAATGGCTATTGAGTGGTCATTAATGGCTATCGAGTGGTCATTAATGGCTATCGAGGGGTCAATCCCAGGAAAGTGACCCCCAAGTGACCACAGAGGGGTCGCACTCACCTCGTAGAGCTCCGGTTTGTTCCCAGGGGCTGCGGGGGAGAAGGAGAAGGGTCAGAGAAGGTTGGGAATGGGAATCCCATCCCGAGAATCCATCCCGGGATTTCCAAAATCCCATCCCAGTAATCACATCCCGGGAATCCATTCCGGGATTTTCATAATCCCATTCCAGGAATTCCACAATCCCATCCTGGGAATCCCATCCCGGGAATCCATCCCAGGATTTACACAATCCCATCCCAGTAATCCCATCCTGGGAATCCATCCCGGGAATTCTAGGAATCCCATCCCAGGAATCCCATCCCCAGAATCCATTCCGAGAGTTCTAAAATCCCATCCCAGTAATCCCATCCAGAGAATCCATTCCAGGATTTTCACAATCACCTCCCAGCAATCCCCTCCAGGGAATGCATCTCAGGAATTCCAAAATACCATCCAAATAATCCCATCCTAGGAATCCATTCCACGTTTTCCACAATCCCATCCCAGTAATCACATCCAGGGAATCCATTCTGGGATTTTCACAATCCCATCCCCCTAATTCCATCCCGAGAATCCATTCCGGGATTTCCACAATCCTATCCCAGGAACCCCATCCTGTGAATCCATTCCGGGATTTTTATAATCCCATTCCCGGAATTCCACAATCCCATCCCGGGAATCCCATCCTGGGAATCCATTCCAGGATTTTCACAATCCAATTCCAGGAATCCATCCTGGGAATTCGGGGATCCTATCCCAGCAATCCCAGCCCAGGAATCCATTCCAGAATTTCCAAAATACCATCTCATTAATCCCACCCAGGGAATCCATTCCGGGAATTTGGGGATCCCATCCCATTAATCCCATCCCGGGAATCCATTCCGGGATTTTCACAAACCCATCCCAGGAATCCCATCCTGGGATTTTGGGGATCCCATCCCTAGAATCCATCCTAGGCATTCTGGGAATCCCATCCTGAGAATTCCACAACCCCATCCCAGGGATCCCATCCTGGGAATTCGGGGATCCATCCCGGGAATCCATCCTGGGAATTCCCGGAATCCCATCCCAGGAATTCTGGAATCCATCCCGGGAGTTCCACAATCCCATCCCGAGAATCCCATCCTGGGAATTCGAGGATCCATCCCGGGAATTTTGGAATCCCTCCCTGGAATCCATCCCGGGAATTCGGAGATCCATCCCAGGAATTTGGGGATCCTATCCCTGGAATCCATTCCGGGAATTCCAGAATCCCATCCTGGGAATTCGGGGCTCCCATCCCGGGAATTCCGTAATTCCATCCCAGTGTTCCCATCCCGGGAACTCGGGGATCCATCCCGTGAATTCCAAAATCCCATCCCAGGAATCCATCCTGGGCATTCCGGGAATCCGGGGATGCCATCCCTGGAATCCATCCCAGGAATTCCGGGATCCCATCCTGGGAATTCGGGGCTCCCATCCTGGGAATTCGGGGATCCCATCCCGGGAATTTGGGGATCCCATCCCTGGAATCCATCCCGGGAATCCTGGAATCCCATCCCGGGAATCCATCCCGGGAATTCGGGGATCCCATCCCGGGAATTCAGGGATCCCATCCCAGGAATCCATCCCGGGAATTCGGGGATCCCATCCCGGGAATTCAGGGATCCCATCCCAGGAATCCATCCCGGGAATTCGGGGCTCCCATCCCGGGAATTTGGGGATCCATCCCGGGAACTAAGGGATCCCATCCCTGTAATCCATCCCAGGAATTCGGGACTCCCATTCAGGGAATCCATCCCGGGAATTCCAGGATCCCATCCCGGCAATTCGGGGATCCATCCTGGGAATTCGAGGCTCCAATCCCGGGAATTAAAGGATCCACCCCGGGAATTCCAGAATCCATGCCAGGAATTCCGGGATCCCATCCCGGCAATTCGGGGATCCATCCCGGGAATTCGGGGATCCATCCCGGGAATTTGAGGCTCCTGTCCCGGGAATTCGGGGCTCCCATTCTGGGAATTCCACAATCCCATCCGAGGAATCCCATCCTGGAATTTCAGAATCCCACCCTGGAATCCATCCCGAGAATTCCGGGATCCCATCCTGGGAATTCGGGGATCAGATCCCGGGAATTCCGAAATCCATCCCAGGAATTCGGGGCTCCAATCCCGCGAATTTGGAGATCCATCCCGGGAATTCCGGGCTCCCATCCCTGTAATCCATCCCGGGAATTCGGGGCTCCAAAGGTGGGAATTCGGGGCTCCCATCCAGGGAATCCATTCCGGGAATTCAGGACTCCCATCCCGGGAATTCGGGAATCCATCCCGGGAATTTGAGGCTCCCGTCCCGGGAATTCGGCAATCCATCCCGGGAATTCGGGGCTCAAATCCCAGGAATGTGAGGCTCCCGTCCCGGGAATTCGGCGATCCATCCCGGGAATTCGGGGCTGCCATCCCGGGAATCCGAATCCGAGCTCTCACCGCCCATCCCGGCCGGGCCCGCGATCCCGTGGAACATCCCGGGCTGAGGCTGGAGGGCTCCGGGCCCCGCTCCGTAATCCCGATCCCGGTTTTGATCCCGATCCGGGTTTTGATCCCGCTCCTCGTCCCGGTCCCGGCGGCTCCGCGGCGCTTCCGCCTCTTTCCGTACACCCCCTCTATCCCACAATCCCTTTCTTCCGTCTCGCCCCGCCCTCTCCGGCAAAACTCCGCAGCCTATTAGTTCATTTTTTCCGCCTCTCCGTATTCTCGTTGTTGATTGGCTGCTGCAGCTGTCACTCAAAGCTGTTCCCTTTTCGCGATTGTCCCGCCCCACTCTGCGGCGTTCTGGGCACCGATTGGCTCCTTGACTAATTTCTTCGTCGCTGATTGGCTCTTTGAGCTGTCAGTCACGGTGGTTGCCGGGCAACGCCGCCATGTCTGCTCCCCGTTATGGCGGCGCACGAAGGGACGGCGGTGACAGAGCTGAGGGCGCTCCTGTTCCCGGTAACGGGAAATGACCCGGAGCGGCACCGGCAGTGTCTGTATTTAATTGGCCTAAATAAATCCGTGATCTAATTAAAGCCGTGATCTAAATAAATCCGTGACCTAATTGGGGCCGTTTCCGAGAGTCCGCACAGCGTCTTTCCGTACAATTTTTCGTCTCACAATCCCCTTCTCCCTTTGTCCCGCCCCTCTCTGTGGCGTTCTGGACACTGATTGGCTCGTTTGCTAATTTTCTCGTTGCTGATTGGCTCTTTGAGCTGTCAGTCACAATGGTTGCCAGGCAACGCCGCCATGTCCGCTCCCCGTTATGGCGGCGTACAAAGGGGCGGCGGTGACAGAGCTGAGGGCGCTCCTGTTCCCGGTAACGGGAAAGGACCCGGAGCGGCACCGGCACTGCCTGTATTTAATTGGCCTAATTAAATCCGTGATCTAATTAAATCCGTGCCCTAATTGGGGCCGTTTCTAAAATCTCGCACAGCGTGTTTCCGTACAATGCTTCTTCGCGCAATCCACTTCTCCCTTTGTCCCGCCCTCTCTATAGCGTTCTGGACACCGATTGGCTCACTGACTAATTTCCTCGTCGCTGACTGGCTCTTTGAGCTGTCAGTCACGCTGGTTGCCAGGCAACGCCGCCATTTTTTGACTCGCGGCGGTGACCGAGCTGAGGGCGCTCCGGTTCCCGGTAACGGGAAAGGACCCGGAGCGGCACCGGCACTGTCTGTATTTAATTGGCCTAATTAAATCCGTGATCTAATTAAATCCGTGGCTAATTGGGGCCGTTTCTAAAATCTGGCACAGCGTCTTTCCGTACAATTCCTCTGCCCACAATCCCCTTCTCCCTTTGTCCCGCCCCCGCTATGGCATTCTGAACACCGATTGGCTCGTTCACTAATTTCCTCGTCGCTGATTGGCTCTTTGAGCTGTCAGTCACGGTCGTTGCCAGGCAACACCGCCATGTCTGCTCCCCGTTATGGCGGCGCACGAAGGGGCGGCGGTGACAGAGCTGAGAGCGCTCCTGTTCCCGGTAACGGGAAATGAACCGGAGCGGCACCGGCACTGTCTGTATTTAATTGGCCTAATTAAAGCCGTGATCTAATTAAATCCGTGGCCTAATGGGGCCGTTTCCGAGCGTCTTTCCGTACAATTCCTCTTCCCGCAATCCCTTTCTCCCTTTGTCCCGCCCCATTCTGTGGCGTTCTGGGCACCGATTGGCTCGTTTACCAATTTCCTCGTCGCTGATTGGTTCTTTGAGCTGTCAATCACAATGGTTGCCAGGCAACGCCGCCATGTCTGCTCCCCGTTATGGCGGCGCACGAAGGGACGGCGGTGACAGAGCTGAGGGTGCTCCTGTTCCCCGTAACGGGAAATGACCCGGAGCGGCACCGGCACTGTCTGTATTTAATTGGCCTAATTAAATTCGTGATCTAATTAAAACAGTGGCCTAATTGGGGCCGTGCCTGCGGGCCCGCAGAGCGTTTTTCCGTACAACTCCACTTCCCACAATCCCTTTCTCCCGATGTCTCTCCCTCCCCGGTGGCGCACTCGCAGCCGATTGGCTCTTCCGTTCCGCCTCTCTTTATTCTCCTCACTGATTGGCTCTTGCATCTGTCCATCAAAACGGTTGCCAGGCAACGAGTCAACATTGGCTCTCTGCTATGGCGGCGGTGTCGGAGCTGAGGGCGGACAAGGTCCCACACGCAGCCGCAACTGGGGCTGAACCGGGGCTGGACCGGTACTTTCTATGCTGCTGTGGCCTAATTAAAACCGTGCCCTAATTAAAGTCGTGGTCTAATTAAAACTGGGGTCTAATTTGGACCGTGTTTATGGCGCCACACGGCGCTTTTCCTTACAACTCCGCTTCCCACAATCCCTTTTTCCCGACGTCTCTCCCTCCCCTGTGGCGCACTCGCAGCCGATTGGCTCATCCATTCCGCCTCTCTGTATTCTCCTCACTGATTGGCTCTTGGACCTGTCAATCAAAACGGTTGCCAGGGAACGCCTCCACGCTGGCTCTCTGCTATGGCGGTGGGAACGGAGCTGAGGGCGGATAAGGTCCCACACGCAGCCGCAACCGGGGCTGGACCGGCGCTCTCTGTGTTGCTGTGGACTAATTAAAGCCATGGCCTAATTAAAGCCGTGGCCTAAATAAATCCGCGGCCTAATTAAAGCCGCCGCTTAACCAAGGCCGTGTTTATGACGTTTTCCGTAAAACTCCACTTCCCACAATCCCTTTCTCCCGATGTCCCTCATTCACCGGTTGCGCACTCGCAGCCGATTGGCTCTTCCGTTCCGCCTCTCTTTATTCTCCTCACTGATTGGCTCTTGGACCTGTCCATCAAAACGGTTGCCAGGCAACGCCTCAACCATTGGCTCCGTGCTATGGCAGAGGGCGGACAAAGTCCCACACGCAGCCGCAACCGGGGCTGAACCGGGGCTGGACCGGGGCTGTCTGTGTTGCTGTGGCCTAATTAAAGCCGTGCCCTAATTAAATCCGCGGACTAATTAAAGCCGCCGCTTAACCAAGGCGGTGTTTATGGCGCCACACGGCGCTTTTCCGTGCAACTCCACTTCCCACAATCCCTTTCACCCCTACGTCCCGCCTTTTCCTTCGCGCACTCTCTTCCTATTGGTCGGTTTTGCCGCCCAATCCCCGTTTCCGCGATGCTGATTGGCTGCCGCGCCCATCAATCTCGCCGTTGCCAAGCAACGCCACAGCGGCGGTAGAGACGAACAAGGCCGCCATCATGGCGGACGCCACCAACGAGGCCTCAGCGGCGGCGGCGGCGCTATCGGAGCTCACGGCGCTGCTNAGTCCGCCTCTCTGTATTCTCCTCGCTGATTGGCTCTTGGAGCTGTCTATCAAAACGGTTGCCAGGCAACGCGTCAACATCGGCTCTCTGCTATGGCGGCGGTATCGGAGCTGGGGGCGGACAAGGCCCCACACGCGCAGCCGCAGCTGGGGCTGAACCGGGGCTGGACCGGTACTTTCTATGCTGCTGTGGCCTAATTAAAACCGTGCCCTAATTAAAGTCGTGGTCTAATTAAAACTGGGGTCTAATTTGGACCGTGTTTATGGCGCCACACGGCGCTTTTCCTTACAACTCCGCTTCCCACAATCCCTTTTTCCCGACGTCTCTCCCTCCCCTGTGGCGCACTCGCAGCCGATTGGCTCATCCATTCCGCCTCTCTGTATTCTCCTCACTGATTGGCTCTTGGACCTGTCAATCAAAACGGTTGCCAGGGAACGCCTCCACGCTGGCTCTCTGCTATGGCGGTGGGAACGGAGCTGAGGGCGGATAAGGTCCCACACGCAGCCGCAACCGGGGCTGGACCGGCGCTCTCTGTGTTGCTGTGGACTAATTAAAGCCATGGCCTAATTAAAGCCGTGGCCTAAATAAATCCGCGGCCTAATTAAAGCCGCCGCTTAACCAAGGCCGTGTTTATGACGTTTTCCGTAAAACTCCACTTCCCACAATCCCTTTCTCCCGATGTCCCTCATTCACCGGTTGCGCACTCGCAGCCGATTGGCTCTTCCGTTCCGCCTCTCTTTATTCTCCTCACTGATTGGCTCTTGGACCTGTCCATCAAAACGGTTGCCAGGCAACGCCTCAACCATTGGCTCCGTGCTATGGCAGAGGGCGGACAAAGTCCCACACGCAGCCGCAACCGGGGCTGAACCGGGGCTGGACCGGGGCTGTCTGTGTTGCTGTGGCCTAATTAAAGCCGTGCCCTAATTAAATCCGCGGACTAATTAAAGCCGCCGCTTAACCAAGGCGGTGTTTATGGCGCCACACGGCGCTTTTCCGTGCAACTCCACTTCCCACAATCCCTTTCACCCCTACGTCCCGCCTTTTCCTTCGCGCACTCTCTTCCTATTGGTCGGTTTTGCCGCCCAATCCCCGTTTCCGCGATGCTGATTGGCTGCCGCGCCCATCAATCTCGCCGTTGCCAAGCAACGCCACAGCGGCGGTAGAGACGAACAAGGCCGCCATCATGGCGGACGCCACCAACGAGGCCTCAGCGGCGGCGGCGGCGCTATCGGAGCTCACGGCGCTGCTCTCCCCGTCCTCCCCCGCCGCTCCCCAAGCAGCCGAAGCCGCTCTGGCTCTGTCCGGTAGCGACTCGGGCCGGGCGTTGCTGGCGGGACACCCCGCGGCTTTATCCGCCTTGGCCGCCATGGCCGCTTCGGCCTCCAGCGGAGCCCACACGGCTTTGGCCGCGCTGGTGAACGCGTCCGCCGAACCGGCGGCGCTGGAACCGCTTCTCGCCGCTTTTCCAACGCTGCTGCCGCTTTTACCGAGCTCCGGAGCGGTTTGCGGGATCGCGGCCAACCTGAGCCGGGATGAGCGGGCGGCGCCGCGGGTGTTGAAGGCGATGGGACCCGGGGCGGAGGCGCTGCTGAGGGCCCTGAGCGCGGAGCGACCACCGGCGGAGCTCGGAGCGCTGCTCTGCAACCTCAGCCAAGCCAGAGAGGGACGGCGGCTGCTGCTGGAGCGCTCCGGGTGAGGGGAAATTTGTATTAAAATGGGGGAATTTGGGATAAAAAGAATTAAATTTGGGATAAAAGGGCTCTGAGCGCGGCGCGGCCCCCGGCGGAGCTCGGAGCGCTGCTCTGTAACCTCAGCCAGGCCAGAGAGGGACGGCGGCTGCTGCTGGAGCGCTCCGGGTGAGGAGAAATTGGGGTGAAAATGGGGGAGTTTGGGTAAACTTGAGATAAAAAGGAGAGAAATTTGGGATAAAAGGGCCCTGAGCGCGGCGCGGTTCCCGGCGGAGCTCGGAGCGCTGCTCTGTAACCTCAGCTGCTGGAGCGCTCCGGGTGAGGGGAATTGGGATAAAAATGGGAAAATTTGGGGTAAAAATGGGGAAATTTGGGACAAAAGTGGGGAAATTTGGGATGAAAATGGGGTTAAAAGCGGGGAAAAAGGGATCAAAAGTGACCCGGGAGTGTTTGGTCTGAGGGCGCTGCTGGAGCCCTGTGCGTGAGGGGAAAATGGGGTAAAAATGGGGAAATTTGGGATAAAAGTGGGAAATTTTGGATAAAAGTGGGAAATTTGGGGTAAAAGTGGGGAAATTTGGGATAAAAGTGGGGAAAAGGAATCAAAAGTGACCTGGGAGTGTTTGGTCTGAGGGCGCTGCTGGAGCGCTCTGAGTGAGGGGAAATCGGGGTAAAAATGGGGAAATTTGGGTAAAAGGAGGGAATTTGGGTAAAAATGGAGAAAATTTGGGATAAAAGCGGGGAAAAGAGATCAGAAGTGACCAGGAGTGTTTGGTCTGAGGGCGCTGCTGGAGCCCTCTGAGTGAGGAGAAAATGGGGTGAAAATGGGGAAATTTGGGGAAAATTGGGGGTAAATTTGGGGAAATTTGGGATAAAAGTGGGGAAATTTGTGATAAAAGTGGGGAAATTGAGGATAAAAGTGGGAAAATTGGGGATAAAAGCCGGCAAAAGGGGTCAAAAGTGACCGGGAGTGTTTGGTCTGAGGGTGCTGCTGGAGCGCTGTGAGTGAGGAGAAAATGGGGTAAAAACGGGGAAATTTGGGATAAAATGGGCTAAAATGGGGAGAAACTTGGGGTAAAAAGGGGGAAATTTGGGGTAAAAGGGGAAAAATTTGGGTAAAAAGGAGGAAATATGGGGAAAAAGGGGAGAAAATTGGGTTAAAAGCGGGGAAAAGGGATCAAATGTGACCGGGAGTGTTTGGTCTGAGGGTTCTGCTGCAGCGCTCTGCGTGAGGGGAAAATGGGGTAAAAATGGGGAAATTTGGGTAAAAAGGGGGCAAATTTGGGATAAAAGCGGGAAATTTGAGTAAAATTGCGGGAAATTTGCAATAATTTGGGATAAAAAAGGCAGAAATTTGGAATAAAAGGGCCCTGAGCGCGGTCCGGTCCCCGGAGGAGCTCGGAGCGCTGCTCTGTAACCTCAGCCAGGCCAGAGAGGGACGGCGGCTGCTGCTGGAGCGCTCTGGGTGAGGGGAAAATGGGATAAAATGGGGTAAAAAATCGGGAAATGGAGATAAAAAGGGAGAAAAAATGGGGTAATTTGGGTAAAAATGAGTAAATTTGGGGTAAAAAGGGGAGAAATTTGGGGTAAAAGGGCCCTGAGCGCGGCGCGGTCCCCGGAGGAGCTCGGAGC